AAACAAGACGACCTTGAGCGGAGCATTGTGGTATAAACGCAAAATCTGGAATTTTGAGGATGTCCCGCACGGGAGCGCAATTTTGCTAAATCGAGGCGCGACCGGTTCGCGTCCGGACCCCTCTACCAAGAGCACTTCAAAGGCGAGGGTTTGTATTTTTTGATCGAAAATCGATAAAATACGCCGATTTTCTGAGGATATCTCGAGCGAGAGCGCTATTTTTAAGTGAACAAGAGCGCGTCCCAAATGTTTGCGCGACGGAAGAGCACACGGATGTCGGCGGGCGGCGTGCATCTAAACAGTCAAAGCCCCACAGTGAATGTGGGGAATAATAATAGTAATAACAAAAGCAAGAATACGAATAGTAACTGTATTACTAATAGTAGAAATAAGAACATATAGGAGCAATAGGAATAAGGGAGGTAATAGTAATAATCGTAATGTTCGTGGTAACAGTACAAAAGTAATTGTAGTAATCACAATATTATTAGTATTCCTAATAATATCTAATAATAGTGCTACTCGTCATGATAGTAATAGTAGTGAGAATAGTAACTGAAGATGTAGGGTTTAAATGCTAATGCATCGTGTACCGCGTGCCTCGTGCCTGGGCGAAGCGATGTCGCGATGTATGTCTGGCTGAATGATAGATGTTGAACTTCTGAATCGCAGCCCAAAATGCTCTTGGGACAACTGTTTTCTAGTTTGTTGACCCTCCTACTCCCTCTTCCCTTTGTCCGAATCGGTGGGATCAGGCCGTGAACGCAACAATCTCGTAATCCGTTTGTGAGCCTTCCGCGGAGGGCAGCTATGGTCCTTACGGAAACCAACCTGCCAGGGGGGGGGGACGAAAGTGCGATCGGCTGCAGTTGCAGCATGCTGCAGTTGTCAAATTCCAGTTCCCAGTCTGAGGCCTCAGATGGTGAGCTGCTCAGAGGGTTTGAGCCTTGCTCTGCATCCTTTCGAACTTGAGCTTCGTAGAAGACTTGTCAGGAAACTCAAATCTGTGAGAAGTTGTAGCCGTATACACCACTGCACGACACCTGCGCCAAAACTGCTCCTGCATATTGCATTGTGATGTGTCGTTGGCTGGGAGTCCCTCCAGAAAAGTCAGCATTTGGTCACGATGCGGGCAGGATCCGGAACTGACGTTTCGATCGCATAGCCGAGCCCATATAGCATATGCTGCTTGGAATCCTCATTCATCCTCATTCATTGGTGGCAACGTTCTTTGTGTCAGCTTGAGAATGCGTCTGGCGCAAGCATAGTCCCAAGCCTGTGCCAAGGTCATCCTGGCACACCAATTCCCGGAGCGCCTTGGCCTAGCCCAAGCACATCCAAGCACGATATTCCCAGATGGCTCCTTGCGGCTGAGGAACGTAAAGCGCCTGATTTCTCGACTCCTTGAGCCGCTTCAGAGCGTCTTTGCCGTGCCTTCCTTCAGTGCGGCAAGTACACGCATGAATTTCTTATCATGTCTTTGCACCCGTGGCATCTGCTGTGTGAATCTGCAGATTGGTCCAATCAGCCAGGTGCATGTTGACGAAAAAAGCCCGGACATGCACCAAGAGTTGCTGCACTGGGTGGAACAGGAGGCGTTGGAATATGCTGTTCAGATCTACTCCAAGCATCCCGGCCTGAGAAGCAATGTGGTGGCATCCTGTGCGGGAGTTCAACCACGTCCTGCGGGAACTCAAGGTTCAATGTTGTTCGCGGCGGTCCAAACATGCTCCAAGCAGAGCTGGAAGGCTTGCTTCGCTTGCTTCCCTGTTCTGGATCACGGTGACGCGGGGTCTTAAGTTTTTGCGTTTCAGGTATTCGCCAGCTTCTGGGCCATGCGTTGGTTTGGGATTATTGTATACTGCTCAGCGAGCAGGACCCTTCCGCAAAGCAGTCGGCCTGGTAAAGCCTGAGAGGTGCTTTTGCTGCAACCTGTCCGTAGGATTACCCATTGAGAGCAAACGATGCGCTGGCCACATACCTATGGGCGCATCGCACCAGCTTTGTGTCGGTCGACGAGGTGTGGATTGCGCATCGCGCTGCCATTGTTCGGCTTCGACTCAGACAATCCATATTTGCATCCTACAGAAGATGTTCTATCCTCTGGCGTAGTCAAGTTTTGCAAGGGTCGCCAGCACCATCTGAGGGATGTCCGCTTAAACTGTGCCATATGGCCACATGCTTGACAAGGGCGAATGCGAACGCGATGTGTCGTACCAGTGTGGAGATCGAGTCATATCTTTGCATCTTGCCTGAGCTTGGACATCGGGCAAGAAAGACGCAGCTGGACATACAAGTAGGGGTGAAATGTTGCTGCTGAAACACATGAAGCCCTGTCCAATACCTCAATGCCCGTGCAAAATTTCCCTAAGCATTTGTATGGCAATTACAGAATCCTCCAGCTGCATAGGTGGGTTCAAAGCCAGAAAATTGCAGAACAGCAGCCCGGAGGGAGTGGGCAGGGGGCGGGGCTCCTCAACCAGTATTAACGCTCCTGTGCTGCATGCAGACCAAAACATGTCTGGCGGCCTGGCGCACACCGATGGCCTTGGGCAGGGTAGGGTGAATTAGGGCCGAGGGTAGCGGCATTAGGGTAGGGTTTGGCGGTGGGTAGGTTCGGGTAGGGTGGGTGGTTAGAGAGGGTTGGTTGCGGGTGGTTAGGGTGGGGTAGAGTGGAGGGTGGTTAAGGATAGGTTGGGGTAGGGTAGGGTCGTGGGTGGCTAGGGCAGGTTATGTGGTGGGTGCGGTGGTTAGGGAAGGTTAGGGTAGGCTAGGGTGGGGTTTCGCAAGTAACTGTGCACTTGAAAAAGCTCCAAAGCTTTATTTCGAGATGTCAACAGCTTGTTTAAACTTTGGGCTTAGGCACGCAGACAGCTGCCGTGTTTTAAGGAGTTGTGCTCCAAAGCTTGCTGTCAGGGTCTCAGACGGCTTCAGGCTTCTGAGCCTCAGGCTGGAGCGTGTGATTGAAACGGTTCAGAAGGAAACAAAAACGATCGGGATCTGCTGACCTGAAACATCTCAAGCTTGAAGATAAACACGATTCACAGTTTTCCCCATGTTTCAGCGCACCCGAAACTAAAACGCATTCAGGGGAGTCTCCAAAAATGGTCCGAAGCTCTTTAAGCAACCGCCGAAACACCTTGAAAAGAGCCTTCGGGCTACAGTCAGTGCAGCATTAGTGTAGACGTTTACCAACGTGTTTGCACTCAGCAACTTTGTGTCCCAAGGGCTTTTGAGTTTTGAGCTGTGTTTATGCCTTATGCTGCCCGAGAGATCAATAATCTTTTCACACGCCAGACGCCAGCTGCTAGCCTTTCCGTTGATTGCGCATAGTTGCGCGTCGCGAGTATATCGCACGTCTTGGTACATGTGGTATCGCAAGATCTTCTGATTGCCGAGGTCGACGGGAGCACAATACCCGAAAGTACCAGGTATGAGCATCGGGGCAGCACTAGAGAATGCCCACAATTTGAGTATTGCAGGCGCACTCTCAGACTCATGGGTCTTTGGCCTTTTGGTTTGCAACGCCAGCAACATACACATTCAGTGAGGATATGCAAGCGGTTCGCAGTGGTTCGCAATCACCCGCGAGTTGGCAGATGCAGTGGCTGGCGACTACTTGAACATATCCACGCTGATAGGGACCATTTTTCGCGATTTGACAGCGGTCAAGCAGCCAGATGAGAGCTTTTTCCAGGCACTGAGCTGCGGCAGACGTCCACTGAGCATAGGGAAAGAAAACCCTAAGCATGCACGCAGCCGGTTTCCCAATTTCTGCACTATCTTTAGAGGGCAAATTCTGAGAAACGCGCATGCTGGTGCATTTGGAAAGGCGGTTGTGTTGAACACGAAGTTCTGTACCGGCTACTCCGACTTCACGCTACATTGGACGGACAAAGACAGTATGCGCGAGGTCCGAAGTCTGACGAGCGAATACAACATCTTGTCCCCTGGTGTGTTGGGGCTGCTGAAGGACATCTTTGAGCGCTTGCTGATGAAGACATTAATGTGTCCGGTGCATGTGTGCTATGGGATGATCGAAGGCGTGCCGTGACTCCTTAGGATTTCAACAAGATGGAAGAAGTTCGTCAACAGTCATTGACGCTTTGCGCAGACAAACTGTTTTGGGCGTCTACAAATGCGTACAAATGCTATCTGTCGCAATTTTCAGCAACGAAGGTGGGCATTTTTTGCCAGGAAGTTCGATGATAGCCGTGACAGCTCTCAACTCAAGGACACACTACTCTGAAGCGAGGCGCATGGTCTTCCACATCTGATTCTGCAGGACCGCCTGGATGGTGAGGCAGGCCGGAGGTCTCGTCCAGCCTGGACACCGGCCTCTCAGCTGAGGCTTTACATTACACCCTTGCCAGAACAATGTGACATAGGGATCTGCAAATCAATCACCAAGTCGCATTCCAGCCACGCACAGGTACAAACTCCATCCGTTGGAAGTCGCTCAGCTATTCCTAGCTCACACTTGAAGGTCGCGTGCTTGCAGCAGCAAGCCATTTGCAAAAGTTGTGAAGATGCCTCAGGAATTGTGGAGGTCTTGGCAAGCTCCCTTTCGCGGGTCAAGTCTGTCAAGCGCCTGCAGAGACCACCGTCAGCATCATGTACTAGCGCATGGCTTCCGATTCATGGCATCGCTGTGCATTTCTGCACGCGCCAGGAAACCATGACAGCATCTTCAATTTGCAGACATTAAACCTTCAACTAGACCCTGGGCTGCCAGCCGACACGTCAACAATTTGTACTATCGGCAGTGGTGTACAGCAACAGCTGAGGAGCCACAAATGGAGCTTCGAATCCGTGAAAAACCGGCAGTTCCAAAGACCATCCATCCCCTCTTGGCACTGAGAGTCGGGTGTGACTGGTGCTTGGCTACTTTGGCCATGTCAGGTCTTCCTGTTTGACCCTGGAATCCTGAGGAACAGGACAGAGTTGGTGTTTGATGGTGACGTCTCGGCCGTTTCGTCATCTAGCACCGGACCTCACAGCTCCCCAGCACAAGACGGCTGACAATGAAGTATCCGCTTTGGTTATGACAGCATGTGACATTTTCAGACAGCAAGGTTGCCCAAGTCTATGGGCAGTTGCCCATTGGCGCATGTCCAAGCAGCCAACCTCACAAGTGCCTTGGCGGGGCTGTGGTTCCCATTAGAGACTCGAGCTCTTTCAACAAAAGCTGTTGGCTCTTTTAAAATTCGGGATGGATTGGCTGAGTGAGTGGCTGTGACGATGGTTTTCGTGCGATCTTGCTGGCAGGAATTCTTTCTTAAGCCTTCCTGTCAAGCCTTCAATGCGCAGCAATTCTGAAGGGGAATGGTTCTGAATGTTTGCCAGCGCATTTCGTCTGAAGAGCCTAGAATAGAGTGACGTGCACTTGTCAGCAGGGAATGTGCCAGCAGGTGTTCTGGCCACCAATTGTCTGGACGTGTCGTAGCCAAGCACGTGCCCCTGCATGCTGCCTTTACCTGCAGGAACTGGTTCTGGTTTGGATCGATCCCCGCGGAACTCCTATGCAGAAGCTTGTTCGCATTTATTCGTGCATGTGGCTACCAGGTGTGGTTGCACCAAATACAGAATCAATACAGGCTTTCAGTAACATGCGGATGCGATCCTCGTCCGTGGAAGCCAGCGCAAGGCATGCACCAATTTCGGTTTCTGAGCATTCTGTGCTCCTTTGGCATCGTTACACAGCAACGTCGATATTGCCACAAGGGCAGTGGACAGTGGAGGCCGCTGCATATGTGTCGCATACTGTCCTCCAAGTTGGCACAGCGCCGCTAGAGGTGTTCACTTGGAATCGCTCGAAGGTCAGAAGCCACGATCGCGTCATTGCACGTCGGCACTTCTTTGCGTACGGTGATCCTTCCGACATCCCTTGGCAAACAGCTGCTTTGATGCGTTTTGATATCCTTAACATCATCCTGCACCTTCATGCCCCGGCGGCTGAAAGTTTGATTTGCAAATACTTGCGTGGATGAAGCATTGACGTGGCGGCTATTGTGTTTACTTCGCCGTGTTTCGCCAGCCGGCAGTCGGCATGCCAGTAGCATGCTGGGGATGGCACACAACTTGTGTTGGAAAGCTGATGGGTTCAAGCCGCTTTGGAATGCCAGACGCGGCTCGCATACTAAGGTCCACGAGTATTTTGACGTTGTCATCTCTTAGGGCCGCCCTTGCCAATGTGCTCCTTGACCATGACCTGGACAACTACCTCTTCTTCATGCTGTGCTACAGCTTGGCCAGCAGCTGATGGTCCTTGCTGAAATCCGCCCACCGCTCTTGAAGGGAGGGGCACGGTGTCAAGCCAAGCGTGGTTCGAGCCGCAGATCCAAAGCTTGCTCCTAATATGAGGAGTGTAGCGGGGTTCAGCTCTCTGTTGAAGCAGCTCTGATGGCTTGTAACCTGACACAGCCAGCTCGAGAATTGGGATGCATGCAGCGCCCAGTTTTTCAAAATCTTGGTGGCACTTAAGGGCTCAAATTGTTCGGGAATTCTACATGTTTGGGTGTCAGGTGGCCCTGCTCAATCAACAATATCTCCTCCTCCGAGGTGACATGCTCCGCTCTTGCATATGCAATCTCGAGGCTTGCTACCCGCACCGGCTTGCTTCGCCAAGGTTGTACCTCAAGCACGAGATGAACGTGTGCAAGAACTGGGTGGCCTAGACGCAATAAGACACGAGCATGTTTATGCTTTGTGTTGAAGAGCCTTGCAACAGAGATCCCTCTGTTCCCAACATGGGCCTTGGGCCTTTTCGAAGGTAAGCAAACGCTGGAACTGACAGCACTTTCGTCATGGAGAGCTTTGGTTTTGGCTCAGACTGTTTAACGTGCCCACGTGCAGCAGGTGCAGCAGTCCGTGCGGTCCGCTTTGCAGAGCTAGCTTTGTGTCGCCGTGCGCGCCTGACATGTGACTGTGTGATGTCCTACTGTACTGTGCCGAGATGTGCCGAGTGCCAAACTCCTTGCATTGCTGTGAGGATGTAAAAATGACGCGTTCGCACCGGCGACCTCTAGCACTGCGGAATGCTGTGGAATTGAAATGGTCAGAGCTGGGTGCTGTTGCGGAAGGTGCAGATCCAAGGTTGCCCCGAAAGGTCACTCGCAGAGCAAGCTGCATTTTTCATGCCGCCTGGCGTTCGGGTCCAGCTGTTGGCTCAAGTCAACAGCATGCCGACTCCATTCAATCTACCTGACCCACCACAGCAAGACGACAAAAGTTCGTGGACCAGTTCTCAGCTGTCTGGATAGAGCAGGGCACACGTGGACTGAATGCGAGGGGCATTGTTGCATTGTTGCATGTATGCTTGGGCAAAGCAGCTTGCTGGCAACCCTGCTTCTGAACTGCGATGTCTTGCATCAGGAAGCTGTCCAGCATGAACCTGCTGCAGGCTGGGCATGTTGTTGACAAGGCTTGCGCAGTAACCTTGAACCGCATTGATATCGTGTTGGATTGCTGTCTAGGCGGTGCTGGGAAACACATCAGGCGTCGCAAGCGCGTTTCCAGTGGTGAATTGCATGTAGTGCCTCCTCGGGCAAGCTTGAGTGCACAGAGCGCCTGAGTCAATGAAGGTCCTGATTGGGCGACAGCCTGCTCAATAACAGAAGATGATGCAGCAATGCTGAAGATGCAAGAATCATCTTTCTTGGGTGTGGAGGGGGCCACATCATTGAAGGCTGAGATTACCGGTCCCTTGGCAAGTATTTCTTTTCCGAACGTGTGCGCACTTTCTCGATTGTTAGAACCTTCTTTCATCAAAGGCAAGATTCCTGAACTGAATTCGGCAGCGCATTACCGATCTGCACGGAAGCTGGTGCAGGCTGAGATGACGTAGTCGCAGTGCTTTGAGTTTCGATGACAGCAGAGACCACACTGTGACAGAACCATGGCATCAGTAACGTGCGAGGACTTGGGGGGCGCGCCTGCCTTGAAAGAGGAGCTGGTCTATTCAGGCTATGTGGATGGCGAGGGGCCCAGGAATGACAGCAGGGTTGCTGGCTTGGAGAGTAGCTTTGCAAGCCTTGCCCAAAAGTGTTGTGAAGGCAAGTAACGACTTTCTTTCATTCATGTTCATGAAACGAACATTATTGAAAGAAAGAGTAAAAGATAGGCCGTCCGGCCGCTGTCGCTGGAAGCGTTTGGAGGCAACTTGGAACCTCCTGTCATGCCCACAAAAAAACAGGTGAAACATCAAAGCTGACATTGCTCGACCGGCCAATGAACATTTTTGCACTGCTGTCCAGCGGCACCATGCTCCTTGGATGGATCGCAAGATAAGTAAGTCCTCTTGAGCTCAGCTTTGCCCATTGAGGAGTCCTCATCTCTACCCTTGCTAGTGTTGCCTAGCCGAGGAAGCAGCCAGAATCGGCGGCTGAGCAAGACGCTAGCAGCAAAGAACGTGTCCACAGCGTGAGCATGACCAAGTCGAGGGTTCCTTACGATGGCAATGAACCCACATACCTAGCAATAAGGACATGCTTGGCACGTTCAAGAGCAAGTTCATGATATGCCGGAACAAGCTGGAGAACGACGCTTGTTGCCAGGGGGTATGAGGGTGCTTTTCACAAGAAAACGGACAGCGCACATGTGGCGGATGTTCCCATAAGGCATGCTCATTAGTATGTTTCGGGGTCAAGCAAACCTAAGCGGCTTGGATCAGGACATAAACTGGGACAATCCGGACATGAAGTGGGTCAAGACTTCTTCCATGGCGCGCTTGCACCGATTCTTGACAACACGAGACCTCCACTACCAGTGGTTCAACCCTCTGATCTTTGGGTTGGTTCCACCCGATGATGATGGAGTGACCGCAAGGTCAGCTCTGGCTGAAGTGGAGCAGATGAAGTCCGCAGCTCTGCTATTCGCCAAAAATGCAGGCTGGTCGGACAAGGTTGGCCTTTTTGTGAACGTGTTTGGCCACAACAATGTGAACTCGCTGTTCATCCATGTGCTGGACATGTCTGAGCTTGGACCTGCGTTCAGCTACCATTCTTTCAAGAACTGCCCTCTTGATGACGTCATCAAGGTTCTCAGAGAGGAGGCTGCCAGCAACTTTCTCCCTGCTCCTGTAAAGACCACTGATCTCCCTGGCCTGATGGAGAAGGCAGGGGCGCGGCGCCGCCGCATGTCCATGATCGGTGAGACGCGCGCAGGTGGGGGAGGGAACTTCTTCTTTGCAGGTACAGACGGCGCAACTTCAGTGAAGGCTGAGATTGTTGGACGACTGCCCATCATCAAGGATGCGGCAAGCTTTCGTGCAGCGCGCAGAATGCTTACAGAGGAGCTAGGCGGCATGCCGACCCTCAAGGAGGAGCTGATGAGGTCAGGATTCATTGACCCTGTGACTGGCAATCTTACCACCGGCACACGCCCTTTCAATGTTTTTGCTCGGATCGCTGGCGGAGTGATGTCGCAGCCCGGCATGGACAAGGAGCAGGAGTACTTAGGAGAATTCCAAGACCATTTCATAATTGCTTCAAACCTTCCAGCCAATGATGAGCATTGGGACTCAGAGGATAAGGAGTGGGTGGGTAAGGCTTCAATGTCGAAGCGCCATCGTTTTCTGACAGTTCGGGATCTACATTGGCAGTGGTTCAATGTCCTCGGCTTTGGCCTTCTGCCAGAAACGAAGGGCGGAGCAGGACTTGGCCGAGCGATTGCTTTGATCGAAGTGATGAAGGCAGCTGCGATCAGATATGCGCAGAACTGTCCCGGATGGAGTGATCGTGTGGGCTTGTTCTACCATGTCTTCGGACATAATTCTGTGAATTCTTTGCACTTGCACATCCTGGACATGGCAGAGCTTGGGCCCACATTCTGGCACTACGAGTACAAGAACTGTCCTTTGGATGTTGTGCTCAAGGTGCTGAAAGAAGAGGCTACCTCGAGCGCAATGGGTTCTGAGAATTATGGTCTGATGGCAGAGGTTACAGAAGCTGCTACAGCAGCCGCAAAGGCAGCTGCTGCAGCTGCAGAAGCAGCTCTCTCTGCACAGCGTCCAAGTGTGAAGGGTCCAAATGGGGTGGAGATTTTGACTATAAATGTTGGAGGAGAGCTGCTGACTGTCAGCCGGCAGACAATGCTGCAGGCTCCAGAAGGTAGTCGTCTTAGAACTCTCTTTCAGGACGACAAGCTCCGCATGTCGCAGCTTGATGCGAACCAGCGGCCCTACCTGAACTATCCGGCACCCGCCTTCAAATGCATTGTCGATCATTTGAGGATGTTAGCAGAACTTCCGCCGACAAATGCCGTAGAGCCTTTGGTTGCGCCTCCCTGGCTTGACAGGCAGGTACGTGAGTTGGCTTGGATTCTGGGCGTCGAGGATATGATCCTGACTCCGCAGTATGGGTCGAACTTCGGCACCCCACGCTTGCCAAGTCGGGCTAGAGGATCCTTCTGTTGCATGAGGAGACGGCCTCAGGGGCATCCATCCGGAGACGAGGAGGCGGAAGCGTCCGCTTCCGCCTCCAAGGTATGAAGTTACAAAAAGAAGTTACACAAAAAGAAGTTACGCATGTTTCGTAGATGTCGTTTCACCCTGTAGCAGCCTGCAAAGCAGGAAGATGCACCACTTACCCAGTCTCGTTTTGATATTCCGCAACCGATAAGTTTTCGTCTGCAATTCACATCGCCTTGACATTTTTTACCATAACCTGATAGGAAGCTATCAGATGATTCGCTGGCTGCCCTGCTAGCAGAGCCTCGCAAAACCAGTCTTGCTGCTAAAACGAGCACCGCCGGTTCGGTGGCTTTTGAGGTTTTCACTTCATGTTCTCAATTGTTCTCATTCTGCTCAGTGTCCCAATCATGCAGCAAGGAGAGTTGAATGTTGGCCATTTGGCTGAGCCTGAGCCTCGCGTCCACCTGTAGCATGGTCAGCAGGAGGCGGATTCCTCGTGCTGTATCATGCCGTAAATGATAATTATGAGCTTCTCTGTGGAGCCACACTGCTACCACAATACTTGAAACTGTCACAGATGAACGATTGGCAGGGCTGCTATCTCAGGCAGTTCCTTTCAGTTCATGACTGGTGAGGCGCGCAAGCTGGAGTCTGCCTGGCCTGTAATTCTGCTTGTGGTTGTGACTGCGATGATCCAGAAGGCACCGCGGCAACTGCTGCGTGTATTGTCTGCAGCACTCATCCGCAATGTCGAGCAGCAGTGTGCGCAAGTCCATGTCAGCCACCGAAATCACTGAAGGCTGAACATTGGCCACGCTCACCTCGAAAGCGAGCAACCATGGCATACAGCGTGTATGGGACAACACCGAAGAGACAGCAGTAGCGCAACTTGAATTCACCATGTTGTCGTCATGCGCTTTCTATTAGTCATTCTGTGGCCGTCGCAAAAGTACAGCAGTAGGCAGGGGCGGGTGCCCCAAAGGCCTTCACGCACTTACCATAAGCAGGATAGCCGTTTCCAGGTAGTCAAGCCTGAGATAACCACAAACAAGTATAGCAAGCAAAGCATGCAGGCAAGCACCTGCCATGAATTCCGACAGTGCTCGTCGGCAAGCTGCAGAAATTGAAGCGTTGCAGGCTTTGCAAGATGCTAGTGAGGGTGCTGCTTCCACGTTGCCCAGTTTCTAGCCTCCCAATGGCTATGGAGGCAATATATGCAGAGGATGGAGAGTTTCAGCTGTTGCAGGAGCCGGCAGAAGGAGCCTGCCAGCAGAAAACTTGTCTGGGCGTTTGGTCTTGAAGCGCCGGCAGACTTTGCAGGACAAGACGCAGGTGCATCCTTCAAGATTCGCTGTCCGGAACCAGTTGGTGGTTTGCTGGTCTGTCTGCCTGCTGCATATCCGGCCCAAGGCAGGAACCATCGGCGGCATCCATGTATGTAGATCCCAACGAACCTCGTGAAATTTGGAGGTCGTCCCGCTTTCATCATGGAGAGGTGGGCTGACTGTTTTTGAGGAGGACAATCGGACCTGCAATTGTCCAAGGAAATGCGGCGCTGATGCAGAAGCAGTGCAGCTAGGCCACAAGCTTGGACAGGGATGCCGAACTCGCTCTGATTGTCAACTTGCTGATGACTTGTTTGGCCACAGGCCTGCAAGAACTTGCAAATGAACACCTGGGCGAAGAGTGCATCTTTGAAGTCCTGTCCAGGGCGACTGAGGTGCAACTTTAGAAGCAGGTATCCTGAGGCTTTGCCTGGAGCTCCAGGTTGCAGAGTCAGCTGGTCTGCATGCAGCAGAGGCCATGCATGAAAGATTCCCATTCCCTCCATCCAACGGTCCAACGCTACAGATTCTGCGCATAGGCTGCCGTGGATGAGGGCCCGGCTGAAGCAGAGGAGACCATGCTGGCAGTGTGCATTAGAACTCTGGTGGATGGGCGGGATGCGCTGGACGCGCGAAACACGGCGACGCATTAGGGACGCCGCGCGCGCGAAGTGCTAGGGTGGGTTAGGGGGCTGTATGGGCAACTCCGGGAAGTGGCAACGCTTATTGTGAGACGCATGAAGAGCGAACGTGCCATGACAAGAAGCGCCTTCATTGCAGACGTCATGAAGAAAACGCTGCGACAACATGCTGCTTCAAGAAACAAACAAAAATTCAAAGAGCGTACATAAATTTCAAGGGGCTCATGTCTATCTTAGCACGGATGTCAAGCAGGAAGAGATACTTAAGACAAGAACCCGAATCGAAGAAGCGAAGGCACGTCGGAAAGGAGCATCTTCAGTACAGAAGACGGATGCAGAACGAGCTGGAGTCTCAATAGTCCTCTCACCGCAGATCCAACCTTTTCTCAAGAATGTACGTCAAATGTCGGGCATAATTATCTGAATGAAGTGCATGTTATGCCCCTCATAGTGGTTACGATACTGATTCCAAAAGCATATTATGACTTAAGCAGCGTCTGTCTGTCTGTCAGAAAATCTCAGGGGTCCATTACTTGGGGGAAGACCTGAGCGCGAGGCTGCACCCCCGGTTTCACTGTAAAGAGACCGTACTTCGCCCACACGTATGTTTGGAAGAGCAAGGGGCCATTTGAATAGTGTTTCCGAGGCGACGCTTGATAAAAGAACAGAATGCATAGCACGCTACTTGAACAGAAGCATTGGTCCAACAACTCAGCATCTCCCACCACTGGAAACGAAAAGATACAACAACAAGTGTGAAGATGACTTTGACACATCTCATTTTAAGTTCCAGCACTTTGATAAGGGCCTAAGATCAATGAAGAATGACAAACAACCACGAAACGACGGCCTCATTATGGAACTTCAAACGGATGAACAAAGAAAACAAAGAGCTGCAGCTGATTGTAGGTATCTCAAATAAATGGTGGTTGCTGCAAGCTGCACCTGAGGAGGTGTTTTCCGCTAGGGTAATGTCATGTAGTGTCCATCTACAAGAAAAGTGACACAGATCAGCCATCAAACTACAGGCCTATCTCGTTGCCGAATTTAATTTATGAATTCTACGTGTGTTTATTTCGTAATAGTATTCAAAACGTACCTGAAAGAACTTTGTGCGAGACACAGAATGTTTTTAGACCCAGCCGAAGCTGTTCACATGCGATATACTTGGCGCGCCGATTGCAAGATATTGCTGAGCAAAATCGGACATTTCTGGTACTAACGTTGCTTGATTGGGAGAAAGCCTTTGACAAATTTCAACATGATTATTTGCATATAGCGCTAGGCCGGTTAGATTGAATACACATTTCATGAAGGTGACAAGAAATCATTATTCCCAAGCATGATTTTTCGCGAGGGGTGAGTATGGAGAATCATCTCAATCAAGCGAAATATGCTGGAATTCGTCAAGGATGCCTATCGTCACCATACCTATTGTCCTGGTGATGTCGGTCATCGATTATGATGTTAACCAAAACAGCAAGTCCATCTCAACATGGTGCCATCTTGAAGCCAGGGGGAGAATTCTCCTCATTCTGTGGAAGGAACCCAGGTATGTCCCCTTATCTGGGGGGGGGTGGGGCGGGCCCTCCCCATTCTCTCGAACACTAAGGGCCAACTTTTTCCTCCAAAGGAGTGGCAACCGCAACACAGAGAAGTGTGACAACTGCAGTTTCTCTCGGCTGGCCAGTGCCCCAAAGCGAGAGAAAGATCTATTTCCTCCTTCATCCAGGTTTCGCGTGCCAACAAAGCTGCAGCCGCTGCTTGATCATTCTGCTTTTGGAGGGCCATCGATTCTTACTGACATGCTACATCATGAAAAGCTAACAGCATTTTAATGCAAACCAGAAAACCAAAACGCTGGCTGCCAACCTGCCGGGCGCAATTTGCCCCACTTGGAAGGAGAACTGAGTGAAGTGCATGCTGTAATGTTGAGGTTTGTAGTATGTTCGGCCTAGAAGTTTGGTGTTGTGCTGTGCTTTCCTTTGCGATTCGAGTTTTTTTGTGCCAATGATGCACCCTGCAGATTTGTATGGCCGCGGCATGCCTCGGCTGCGGGGTGAGTTGTTTATCGTTCTTTTTGTACAGTTTGTCTCTGCTGAATTTCCATTATGCTTGAGGGAGCGGATTGGCCGTGAGAGCACGCAGCAGGCAGCTAGCTGGGCGACAGAGCATCCAGACGGTACCCTACTTCGACTCAGCGTTCGTTCTGGACCCAAAGCGGGCAACTCAGCCGGAAGGAGAGGCAAACACTTGTTCCGATGATGGGCTGCAAGGTGAAACAGTCACTGCTGACTAACAAGTCCGAGCTGCGACGCGTCGCAACTGCTGGCTTTGTTTGCGGCGAGCCCAGAAGAATGCAGGTCTGAGACTTCTTATCTGCGGCGGCGTAGCCGGCAAGGTATTGATCTCGCTCCATCGCGCAATACAGAGCGCAAAGCTCAGATTATGCATATTAGGATTGCTTTGCAACACAGAAAAGAGGCTCACAGTGCCATCTTTGGCTTCAGAATTCTAAGGCCAACCTGTAGAAATTCCTTTGGACACATGCCATTGCCGGGTAGATTCAACTGGAATCGAAAGCAACCTAAGCTTCCCTGTCGGTCCGAGAGTCGCGTTGCCTCATGTTGCCTCGTCACATGAGAATTGAGGGGAAGCTCGTGGAAGTCCTCACTTGGGTTAGGCATGGCCCTTGCAAGAATAACTCACCTTTCCTCACACATTAACTGACCTGTTGGTCAAATGGGCGGCTTGCTGTAAATACTTGTGTCGCTGAGCGTCTTCTTCTTGTCGACAAGGCGACATGCTCTACAAGTAACACTTTCAAACATCAGCCATGAATAAAACAAGAATCTCTGAGGATAATGCTGCATTCGCTCAGCCCAAACTTCCTCTTCCAACAAAGATTGATCACAGCTGAACGTGTCTGAACTGCAGAGCTCTCGAGAGAGCCTCTTTTGGCCGGAAGATGGTTGCTTTGAGGGGCCTGTGGCGCTGCGGGACATTTGGCTGTATGTCTAGAAGCATCACAAAGTCGGCGCAGAGCCAATACACGGCTTGGAATGAGCATCTGCAGGTGCGTCAGGCTGATCAGCCCCGATCTTCGAATTTACTGTGGCCCGTGGTTAGACAATCGCACACAGCACACACGCAGCAAACAGGTGGGCCCCAAGTAAACAAAAATCCAGAACACAAGCATCACGAGCTGTACACTGTAGTTACCTCCCAGGACAGCACTGGCAATTACACCGACACACGCATTCACCTTCACCCTCGCGATATTCAATTATGACCAACTGAAAGCACTCATCAGCCTTGACATGGGGTTGAGATGTTAGCCAGTTGGCATGAGATAGCCGGCAGCCAGTCAAAGACTTGCAGCCCACAAGCGGCCAGTGGCCGCAGTCTTTGCATGCCCAAGCCCAGAAATCGATGCCCCTAACCGAAAAGATTACAGGGAACCTTCTTACCGTGCACTGAAGCTTCTCTGGAGAGCCCTCAGTCATGTGAAATCCGCATGTCTGTTTGCAGGGCTGCTGGATGCAGTGCCGGGTTCGGATTGGTTCCATAACAATAGAGTCGAGTTTAGAAGGGCTTTGATGCAGCTGGAGTTCTTGGTAGAATAGTTGATTATCTATTTAGGCAAAGAGCAGGCAGGGAGCCATGCTTCTCATGGAGAGTAACGCATGGCATTAGGTGCAGCGGAAGACTCATCCTCCATAAAGATTTCGTCGCTGCCGCCCAGGAACTACGAGCTGGCAGCGCTTCTGTCAAGCTGCCTACAGGTCAAGGCATGCAGCATGCGTAAGCCGGGTGGCGGATGGTAACGGTGCCAGAACATCCGTGACGCTGTGCAACATGCACTGGGATTCTCTGAAGTCGCGTGAGTGCATCACCGCCGCCGCCACCACCACACCACAACACCACAACACCACAACACCACAACACCACAACACCACCACACCACCACCACCACCACCACCACCACCACCACCACCACCATCAGCAGCACTACAAGCAGCACCACAAGCAGCACCACCGCCGCGTGAAGCAGCAGCAGTCATGCATCAATAGCAGCCGCTGCAGCGACGACCACCTCTACTTCGGAGAGTCCAGCTGGTTGTCAGGGAGCAACAGGTTGCATTGTTGCTGTGGTCACCTTCAACCTAGCTACCGTTGTGACATCTTGCCCGCGCCTTGTGTATGGCTCGGAGACTCCAAAGACAGTCTCAGGCATTCTTGATTTGGCTCTTTGGGTGAGCCTACCTCGCAGATGTCTCTTCAGCTATTGGGAGGCAGACGATGTGGAGTTCATTCTTGGGGGCAGGAGCTGCATTTTTACGTTGACCGCTTTGTGCCCTGTCGGTTTGCGTAGATCATGCCAAGCGGGCCATGGGTCGCTGCCAGGAAGGAGAAATCCAGCGGAGAGCGAACAGCACTGATTCGCGGAGTTTTCAAGCAGGCCTGGCGCGCAGATCACACATCTTGAGCTTGGTGAGATCTAACTTGAGATGCTCTCCAGGTCGCAGTGGACCGCCTGTTGTCCTGAAGCAGCAGAAAATTAATCTGGGGCAGCGCATCCTCAGACATGTCGGGCATCATGTGCGCAGCGCGCGGGTCATCCGCTGCTGTTTCATTCAGCCTTCAAAGTCTCAAGCAGACGAAAGCAGTGTTCACAGTTTGTTTTGCAAAGGGTGAAAGTCTCGGGCGTTTCTGCACCCAGGGTTCTTTCGCCGGAGATGGCAATTGTTGGAATGCTTGAGGAGTATCCAATATATAGCCCCATATAGCCATAACAGGTTTTCCAGCAGGGCCAAGGCAGCATGGGTTTGTCCACCCCAGCGCCATGCCGACCACTGCAATGCTGGCACTGAGCAAAATTGGTGCTTTATGTTTCCTGTGCTTTGCGATTTCAGCCGCTTACTACAGCGAGCTGTTGCAGAAGGAGCTTCTGCGCGATGGCGCGGATATGGACAGCCGACAGACCCCCATGAATCTTGGAGTTCGTTTGCCCAACGGTAGCGTTCAGATATTGATTCCAGAAAATGCCACCCCTCCTCTCAGACGTGCCAACATTTTTGAGGCACGTTGCACTGATGCACAGCAAGAGCTTCATTTCTCTTTGTGCGGAAAGCCTGGTGACAGCACATTTGTGCTGCACCGGGAAACCCTCCCATGCCCAGCAGGGTTGCAAGCCAGAATAGAACAGACAGTTGAACTTGACAATGACGGTGTATGGTTTGGCGTTGTGGATGTTGACAAGATGGGCGAAGGAAGTGAAGGGGGACGGCAGCGGGAACATGTCATGACGTTTCAGGAATTCCTTGCAATCTCAAGGAGCTTGGCCACGAGGGATGGCGGCAGCAACGGCAGCTCAGATTCGCAGACCGGAGAGCTGGCTTTGCAACAAGAGCTGCACGCACTCCGGTCTCTGCGCCAAAGCCAAGGTGGCATAGCAACAGATCGTGAAAGCTTTAGAGCGTGTTTGAAGGACCGGAAGGCGCTTCAAGAACGGGTTACTGAAGCAAAGCGTGCCAGTGAGCACTGGCGATTGCATGCAGAGAAGAAGGACGCCGACCTGCAGCGATTGGGGCAAAAAACAAAAGAGCTTCAAGGCAAGATAAAGACTTTGAAGGCCAAGATGGGTGCACAGCGAAATCAGACTGAGGAGAAGCAGACCTTGGAGACGATACTTGAGATGAAATCAGAAGAGTTGAAGCATCGAAGGCAAGAAGCCAAGTGGTGGTCGGTTGCCACAGCAGTTGTGGCCGGGTCATCAGCTCTGGCATTTTTTACATGGAAGCGCTATGCAAGTGATGACCTCAGTCTGGATGCCAAAAAGGAGCGGCGAAAGCTTCTTCGGCTGCTTGGCCGTGTAAAGGCCAAGTCAGAAACACCTTCCCCGACAAAAACATTGGAAAGCCCGGCAGACAATCAAGACTCCAATCCGGTTGATGATCAGGTCTTTCAGTATACGGTCGAGCTTGAACACAGACGGAATCGTGATGTGCGGTGTGTGCGCATTCAGTGCCCTGGAGTTCAGGAGGCAGATGTTGCTATCAAAGTCGTTTTCAATGGGGTGGAGGTTTACATTGACCGGCAAGAAACTGCAGGCTTGCCATCTGTATCATGGAAGCACCGCTTTATCTTCCCCGCCGAAGAAGGCCACTTTGCTTTCGCGGATGATGAAACGAGACTGAGCCATGGCCTGTTGGAGCTTGTCTTCGTCCCTCAGGATTTCCTGACCAGAACCTTCCGCTTTCCAGAGCACTTTGATTTGGCCTACGATGACTGATGTAGCCACATGAGTGGTAATTGGGCCGCTTGAGGCCTCCACAGTAGCAAATACTCTCGCTTATGGGCCTTCTGGCAGGGAAGCCTGAGCTCAAAAAGCTAACATGCGATCAGAAAATAGCTAGAGCATGCAGCTGGTTGGAGAATATCATGTCGAGGTAATTGAGGCGTGGCTAGCCAGGTCAACTTGTTGTGACATCGTGGGTAGCAGCCCCGGACGTGCGGATGTGTTGCATCGTGCGCATCTCTGGCTGAGCGAAGGCATCCCTGTAACGATCCTGAGGTTGCGCTGCCCGTGCTGCGCCAAAGAGGCTGCATCTGCAAAAGTTGAGACATTCACAGGCAAACGCTGGCCCAGGCTTTGCTCCAAGTCCAGCTCTGGGGCCCTGTGAAGGCTGGAAGCATAGGAGGCTCGTTGGCTCCGAGGTTTTTCCCACTTTCGGGGACATCTGTCCTCTGAAGGGTCAACAATTTTTGTGCTTGACCCACGTGATCGCCTGGCAGGATTGCGATGAGTGCCAGCGCTGCTTCATCTGTGCCTCCTGCACCAGGACTTGCAACGTCAGACAAGCCCCGGCAAAGTTCCCTTATAGCCGATAGCCAGGAGTGGATGTTCGGAGATGTCGCAGGCTGAATTTCGTTGAGATGAAGAAGGCCGCCGCCCATAATAAACATGAGGCAAGTCCAAAAGATTCTGGACATCGCATTCTGCTTGCAAGTAGACCTTAAAGGAGAGCACAGACCCCGTGATTTACTGGATGTCTCGGGACCAGCGCTTCAGCCTAAGCATGGCCGACCCATTGCAACAGCACACACCTGCTGCCTTGGGCAAGGCTCACAGGACAACTGGGCATTGATTTACGCTCAGCAGCTGGCGCCTTGACATTTCTCGTTTGTGGACAATGAGATGACTAGGACTGGCCGTAGCCGCCAGAAGACCTAAGGTTGGCCATCCAGCGGCCGGCGCCTCAATCAGGGAATGCTCATGCCGAGACAGAATGCACGATTTGCAGGGCACTGTGCACTGAAGAAAGTACTCTAAATCGCCCGAGAAGCTGCTGCAAGATCGAGTCAAACAACAAGCAAAAACGAAGAGTGAGAAACTTCGACAGCTAGACCCTCCCTCAGCACACTGGCACAATAAGGGAAAACGCTCCCAGTCCCATGAGCCCACACGTGTGCACTTTCAGAAGGACCAACGCTTGAATAACGCATATGAGGCTGGAGTCAGGAAATTCGCTATCGTGTATGTGTGAAGGAGGTTGGTTTTGGTCAGGAAATTCGCTATTGTGTATGTGTGAAGAAGGTTGGTTTTGGGCAGGGAGGGGATCATCAAAGGGTCACTATGC